GGACGAGGAGGAGGAGGAGGACGAGGAGGAGGAGGCGAAGGGGAGGACGAGGACGAGGAGGAGGAGGACGAGGAGGAGGAGGACGAGGAGGAGGAGGAGGAGGAGGAGGAGGAGGAGGACGATGAGGACGAGGAGGACGAGGAGGAGGAGGAGGAGGAGGAGGACGAGGAGGGCCAAGCCCGATGGGGGCTGGCGGCCCATCGGCCTGATCGCTTCCCTGATCCGCCTGCAGGGCAAGATCAGGCACGACGAGGCGAAGTGCTGGGAGGCCGCCAAGGACAGGCCCTACTTCTTCGGCGGGGCTGGCAGGTCCTGCGAGGACGCGGTCTGGCTGCAGAGCTTCGACGCGGACCACGCGAAGGCGCTGAACCTGGAGGCCGCATCCGCGCTCCTGGACCTCAGCAAGGCCTACGAGAGGGTCACGCACAGAGGGATGGTCCACGCCGCGCTGAGGGAGGGCTTCCCGCTGAGGAGGGTCAAGATCCTCCTTCGCCTCTACGGGGGCAGGAGGCGCCTCTGCTTGGACCGCTGGACGACGGAGGCCTTCCAGGTTTTCCTGTCGCTGCTGGCGGGTTGCTCCTTTGCCACGACGCTGCTCCGCGTGGTGTTGGTCGAGCCTTTGGACGCGATGCTGGCGTCCTGGCAGATGGTGCGCCCATACCTCGTGGTCGACGACATCACGTTGGCGGTCTACGCTAAGCGCGCGCAGCTGGAGCACCTTTTGGTCGGGGCCACCCGCGCCCTCTGCTTGGACCTGGAGGCCATCGGCTTCACCATTTCCTTGACGAAGGGCCAGGTTCTGTGCACCGACTCCGACATCGCCAAGCGGGTCGCCCACAGGCTCAGACGCTGGAAGTTCACGCGCGTGAAGGCCACGAAGAACCTGGGCGTGGACTTCACCATGGCGAGGTCGGCCTCGTGGAGGGTGCTACGGCAGAGGATCGATCGCCTGAGCCAGAGGGCTGGGCGATACAGGGCCTTGCGCAAGGCGGGGGCCAAGAGGCTCTCCAAGGTTTTCAGGACAGGAGGGCTGGCGTCCATCCTCCACGGCGCGAGGGTCAGCGGAGTACCCACGGAGACCCTGCAGCGCGCCCGAGCAGTCAACGGCAGGGCCATCTCGGGCGAGATCGGCCAGAGGTCCAGGACTGTGCTCTTCGCCCTGCAGGAGGGCAAGGACTGGAAGCACGACCCAGCATACGCGGCGCACGTCCTCCCGCTGAGGGCTTGGGCTCGCGCCGTCTTCCTGCGCGTGCGGCCCCCTGCGGTCTTCAAGCAGGTGCTGGAGTGCAGACCAGGCGACTGGGGCGAGGTCATTGGGCCAGCAGGGGCGGTCCGCCTCTCGCTGGAGCGCATCGGCTGGGAGCTGCTGAACTGGCACCGCTGGAGGGACGACCGTGGGCAGATCCTCGACTTGCAGCTGCTCAGCCCGCGGATGGTGGCCAGCCTCGTCGAGAGAGGGGTCCACCGCTACCTCATGCTGAAGGTCGCGAGCCACGAGGGCTTCGAACATCTCCAGGGCCGCCCGCCCAACCTGGAGCCGTTTAGGACGGCATTGGCGGGCATGCGGCGCGCTGGCAAGTCGCAGGAGGCCGCGCTGGTGGAGGCACACATGGCAGGCGGGCTCGTCACGCAGTCCGACCTGTACGACGAGAGGGCAGAGCTCAGCCCGCTGTGCCAGTGGTGCGGGGAAGCACCAGGCACGGCGCACCACAGGCTGTTCGCGTGCCCCGCCATCGCCTGCTGGGCGCGCGACCTGGGCTTCCAAGAGATCGCCGACGCAGGCAGGAGGGCGCCGCAGGACGACCTGGGCCTGGTGAGGGGCCTCGTCAACCTCGGGCTGGACCAAGCCCCGCCCCCTGGCATGGACGAGCTCTGCCACCGCGCAGGTTGCGCGCGACACGGCCTCCTCGAGGGCGTCATCTGCATCGACGGGTCCGCGATGTACCCCGAGGTCCCGTGCCTGACGCGCACGGGATGGGCGGCGGTGGTGGTAGACGACGTCGGGAACGCCGTCGGCGGCCTCTTCGGGCTCACGCCAGGCTGGATCCAGGAGATCGGCTACGCGGAGCTCTACGCGCTGCGCAGGGTCCTGGAGGAGGTCGGCCCATCGCCCATCACGGTCTATACAGATTGCAAGGGGATCAAGGACGACTTCGAGGCAGGCCGCGAACGCTGTTGCGGCCCAGGCCACAAGTACGCGGACCTGTGGAGGCGGGTCTGGCAGCTGCTCGACGACCTCGGCCCTGGCTTCCTCATGTTGACGTGGCTGCCGTCGCGCACTTCGTGGGCCAGGGCCAGTGCTGCAGGCGTGCCATGGCAGGCCTTCGCGGGCAACAGGGAGGCCGACGAGAGGGCGAAGGAAGGCGCCAGGCTCCACCCCAGGCAGGAACGGCTGCGTGAGTTGAGCCGCCGCCTGGACGCCGCCGCCTTGCAAGCGCAGGCCTGGTGCGGCCACCACGGGGGGATCTTGAAAAGGCTCGCCGACCTCGGATGGCCCGATCGCGGGGCCCTCCCTAGGCCCAGGGGCTCGGATCCTGGGACCCTGGCCCTGGTGGGGCCCGACAGGGGCCACGTCCTGGCCAGGCTCGGTCGAGCCTGGGGCTGTTCGGTCTGCGGGATCCGTCGGGCTACCAGGGCCAGGGTTGTCGCCAGCGCCTGTCCAGGACTCCCGTGGTTGGTCGCCAGGTCCCACCCGTCCCACAGGCTCTGGGTGATTCGGGGCGGGGATGGGCCGTGTCGGAGGTCCTTTGGGACGGGTGGCTGTCTCGTGTTCTGTCGTACGTGCGGGGCCCACGGGAGTCGCCAAGCGAAGCTCCTGGCCGACCCTTGCGTCCCGCTGGCCAGTAAGAGCCGCGACGCGGCTCGCCTGGCTCGCCGTGCCCTCGAGCGCCTCAGAGCGGGGCGGGAGCCCCAGACAGGCAGCCGCTGGGGAGCGGTCCCGTTCCCTGTCTCGAGGGCGGCGGCAAGGAGGGTTTAGCTTTTGTTAATTTTTGGTTTGGACTCCAAGGGGCCCTCCCGCGCCAGGTTCCCTTGCCTGGCGGGTCCTG